CCCGCAGAGCGGAGAGCGCGTCTCTCCCCTCCCGAAGACCCCGAGCCCCAGCCTCGCGGCGGGAAGCGGCTCCGCTTCGGGGAGCCGGGGTGGTGGCTGCCTGTGCCGCGCCTGTCTGCGGAGGAGCGCGCGTGGGCGTGGCCGTCCCGCGGGCCGCAGCTCTTGCACGCTGCCGGAACCCGGAGGCCTGGTGCTGCCGAGGAGGGCGCGGCTGAAGAAGGCGCTACGGCGCTGACAGAAAGGGGCGCGGCTGAGGAGGGCGCGGCTAAGGAGGGTTGGGCCAAGGAGGGCGCGGCCCAGGAGCGAATAGCAGCCCTGACGGAGGAGGGCGCGGCCGAGGAGGGCGCGGCTGAAGAAGGCGCTACAGCGCGGACAGAAAGGGGCGCGGCTGAGGAACGAATAGCAGCCCTGACGGAGGAGGGCGCGGCCGAGGAGGGCGCGGCTGAAGAAGGCGCTACAGCGCGGACAGAAAGGGGCGCGGCTGAGGAACGAATAGCAGCCCTGACGGAGGAGGGCGCGGCTGAGGAGGGCGCGGCTGAGGAGGGCGAAGCCTTGAAGGAGCGAACGGCAGCCCTGAAGGAGGAGGGCACGGCAGCCCTAGCTGAGGAGAACGCGGTTGCCCCGAGAGTCCGCGACTCAGGCGTCGCGGCTTCGGGAGGGCCGGGACCCTGGCGGCGGTCATCCCCTGACCGCGCGAGGCCGTCGCCGCAGAAGCACGAGCACGCGGTAGCCGACGCACCGGGACCACGGAGCCAGCGCCGCCTCAAGAGTGCCCAGCCCCGCCGCTGTGAAGAGAGTGGCGCAAGGAGCAGCCCTGGGCTTCTGGAAGGGTTAAGTAGCGGTGCGCCCTTCGTCGAGTTGAAGAAAGTAGCAAAGCGAAAGAATGACACGTTGGAGGCGTGTGTTAGGAGTTTCACAGACATTTTCTGGTCCCCAAATAGATATAATGTTAAGAGGCCGAAATTACAGGACCATAAAAAGATTGTAGATGCAAAAAGCGTTTTTTCTGAATATTGTGAATATAACCACCAGTTAATCAGCAACGAAAACACTTTTGAAAGTAAAAATGATTCGTCTAGTTTAAACTATGACGACCGTAGTGTGAAGTGCTACGTTGGAGACTCTGAAAAGAATTTCACTGTGACCCTAAGAAATACAAATTGGAAGGAAGCAGAGAAAAACCTGGACAGTTACATATCTTCCAGGTTAGAAAAATCTCAAAGTTGGGACTGTAATATTAGACATATTTTGAAAATAAATAAACAGAGTTGTTGGGTAATGAAAAAGTACAAGACTGGCAGTGAAAATATAAAACCATCTAGAAAAGATCTGAATTTGCTACAATTACAAGCACTAGAACTTTTAGGCAAGGAAGATTATCACAATATAAAAGCTGTAAGTGTGCAGAAACAACAACTAAGACCTCTGATGATAGAAATGGTAGGTAGCCAAAACCTTTTTATGAACATTGTTTGGCTGAATAGTAATGGAGAAAATGATAATATGCTGCAGTTGAGATACTACACTATAGCAAAGGATTTTCACATAAGCAACATGTTTCGAAATCTCATTACGGAGATTTTTTATTTCCATAAAAGTATTTCAGAAAACCAAAAGGATGATAGAATTTTAGGCTGGTCTCAAATTTTAAAGTGCAAAAATCAAACCATTATTAAAAATCTAATAATGTGGAATACCAATGTCAATATAAACAGTGGCATTTTAAGCAGATATTTGCAAAGCAGCATTTCAGGACATTTAAATATTTTGAAAACCAATATAGCTTATATAATCAACAACTTTGAATCTTTAGCCAAAATTGAAGATGATTCTGGATTGGAGGAGGGACACATTTTCGAGTGGATAGTGCATTTGAATTATCCAAAACTTATTACGGCAGAAGATCATACTGTATATATAATGAGGACTGTAACTTTTTCAAAATGTTTAGAAGAAATTATGAAACCTATCTTAAAGAAAATAAAGCCTATATTTAAAACCCAACAAATTCTTGACCTGTGTAAGGAAGAAAACTTTGATTCTTTTGATACAACATCTCAGAATCTATGTTTTCCAATTTTCAAAACATATGAAAAAAATCTTTTTTTAATGGACTTTGATGACATGGAAGAACTTTCTTTGATAAAAAATTCTAGTTATGAGACTATGAGTTGTCTTGAACAACCCATGAATGTAGAGACCTGGGCTCACTGCAGCTTTAGTACTGTTAAAACACATGTGAAATCTGATTCTCAGCTTATACAGAAAAACCATGGATGTATTAGCAGAAAATGTCATGAAATAAATGTACATAACCGACATTTAGGGACTCAAAGAAAACAGGATCCTAAGATCAATAGCTTTAATTCTAAGCCTACATTTGAAAGTTCTTTTGTTAGACAACAGGATACACTGGCAAACCAAAACACAGTACATAGTCTACAGATCAATAGCTTGACTGTAAATCAGGTGCTGAACTTTGAGGGCTTGCAAAGTGAAATAGAAAGAACCAAATATGACTTTATTCTGAAAAAGGAACTAAAAGCCACAGAACAGAGTTTAACAAATAGTTGCCAAGTTTGTACTAAGATAGAAAAGAAAGAAGGTAGTTTTTCCCCAAAAGATGGCACAGTTCTTGTGCAGTCATTTTCATTGAGGAGTGTGAAAGTAAATATGAAAGAAACTAAATCTGTTAATGAAAGTAACACAGTGGACAGAAATGAATACAAGAGTATTTTGCAAGAAAGTGAGTTAGCTAATTCAAAGCATTTTCATCCAAAGAATCATGCAACATTATATGTGAATCATCAATTTGAAACTGATTCAAATGAGAACAATGAATACTTTCAGAATTTAACTGCAAAATGTTTATCAACAGAGGCTCTGACAGCAGTAAAAGATGTAGAGATGAAGAGTAAATTCAATTTGGTACTTGAAGAGCTTCGTTTGTTTCATGAAATTAGTAAGGAAAATGAAATCCCAACCACTGTGGAAACAAACAGTGGGCAACAAAATTACCTTGAAGAAAGCAATGAGGAGGAGGGGGAAAAAATAGAGATAGAACAAGATTTAAAAATAGTTACAGCCGGCAGTGGATGTGCATCTTCTTTGCCCTGTGGCACAGTAACAGGTCCTAATATTGATAGAAGACACAAAGGTTTATTTAAGTGGAAAACAGTACCCAGTGGAGAACAGGAAGTTCCCAGTGTATATTGCTGTCCTAGAACAACAGAGGAAGAAATGATCTATTTTACTTCTGAGCAAGGTATGTAATTCATTCTAAAATATTCTTTCTCATGATAAAATAATTAACTGCTTTTCTTGTGTGTAGGGCAGATATATACTTTTTGGCAAAACAGGTACAGCATAAGACAAACGTTAATTGCTGTATACCTTTTTTCTCTGAAGATTTTTTTTTCTCTGAAGATTATTTAAATGCTACATAATATGCCAAACTTGTCAGAAAAAAATTAGTGATTTTTTAAAAAGGAAGTCTAAAGATTCTTTCTTCATTTCACCAAATATTAGGAGACAACTGAAGGATGTATTTCTGAAAAAATAATTTGTCATGAGAACATTTTTTTAATAAAAGATACATTTCTAAAACATACTATCTTTATTTTCAGATGGTAAAAGTTCTTTACCTAAGAGACCTGCTTTATTCCCTGATGAATATATGGAAGAAAAGTTTAATTATTTATCAAGTGGAGGTAAGATCTTTAGGTATTTTCTAAAATATCTTGTAAAAGTATTATTAATCTTTATATTTCAGCATGATTAAACAATATATTATTAGAAAATAAATGCAATTTCCAAAACATTAATAATTTATTGACACAAATTCCAAAAGTTAGAAATTGGTTAAAAATTAAAATACCATTTGGAATATTGTTGGGAAGTACACTCTATAAAAACTATATTCAAATGTTTGCACAGATCTGTGTGAATAACTGTGTGCCAAGACAGGTGCTGTAGATATTCCTAAAGCCCAGATATCTTGACATATATAACCTTTTTGACAAAACCAAAGAAAAAAAGGATTTGTCTGAAGTGGACATCTGCTGACGTTGAGATATCACTTCCGATTATGCTTTGTACTTTTTGTCGCATTGAAGATTTGTTAGTGTGGATATTTTATTTTTTAAATTTTTAAAAATTGCTATTACTTAGGCATGTTGATGTGATTTTAGTGTGGCATATAGATTTTTAAAAAGAAATTATATATAACTGGAGATTATATATATATCTGGGGATCAAACTCAGGACCTTGTGTTTGCCAGGCAGACACTTATTCTGCTGAGCTATCTCCACAGCCCTAGCAATTATATTTTTAATTACTATAAAATACAATAGTATTGTATTTTGCTATATCAGAGTAAAACATGATATGTCTAATACCCATTTTAATTTCTGGACCCAATGCATGTAGGTAGAAATGAAGTTAAAATTAGAAAAGTAGACGAAGTTGTAGTTGAGTCAGAAATTTCTGCTTCCACAAAATTAGATCTAAAAAGGTAGCATTGTAAGTAAAATATATTTGCTAGAACATCTCCAGGATGTATCATTTCTTGAAATGTTTCTCTTGGCTTATCATCATCAATAGGAGGCTGTCTTCAATACCTTTAATGTTGCCTCAGAACATTCTTTTTCTTCTTTTCTTAGTTTATAATGAAATAATCTTAAAAATTGATGCCCTGGGAAGGCTAAAGGTAATCCTTTCTCCAGTGAGCAAAGGAAATATTTAATGGATCAGTACTTCATGAATCTAAAAGGAAGGTTGAGAGAATTATTCTGGAAACCCAGGTTTGGTGGTGTACCCATGTAGTCCCAGCACTCTGGAAAGCTGAGGCAGTAAGATGGCAAATTTAAGCTAAGTTTGGGCAACTTGGTAATTTAGCAAGACCCTTTTTCAAAATAAAAGTCTAAAAATGCTGGTAATGTATTTCAGTGGTAGACTAATCTCCTGGGTTTAATTGAGCTTGACAGAGAGAGAGAGAGAGAGAGAGAGAGAGAGAGAGAGAGAGAGAGAGAGAGTATTTTAGGGTTTATCCCTAAAAGGATATGGTTTGTTTTTTCTAGCATGGAAAAAGGGAAAAGGGTGCTGGGGATTTAGCTCCGTGGCATAGAACCTGCCTGGCAAGACAAGGTCCTGAGTTCAAGTTCTAGTACCCAGAAAAAGAAGTAGAAAAAGAAAAAATGAAAAAGGATTTAGAAACATGCCTTTATATAGGAGTAAGTTTGGGGGCACATACCCATGTTGGCATTGTGATTTTAATTGAGATAGAGAAGTGAATATATAAAACAAAGTGTAAGTACAAGTTGGAAAAGAAATGATACATCGGAAATATCCAAGTCCATAATAATGTGACTCCACTGTCAAAAGATAAAGAGGGCAATCCTGAAGTAAGGAAAGTAACGGGTGAAATCAACCAGAATTGTGTACTACTGTGCTAATTCACTTCCAAAGTGCATGAGAATGGAATGATATTCCCAATGTTTATTGAAGGGCACAGTGTAAGGGAGAAGTTGGCAGATACTGGGATGCAGGGTTAGTGAGAGCAGGCGGTGCTCTGCTTAGGTGGAGTGGGTGCCCTTGACACTGATTTTATAGGTCTCATAAAGATCGCAGCTCTCTTGGTGTGCTTTGATATGTCTCCACCTGCCATCAGGATGCCTCCTCTTGTAATTAAGGTTTCCATTACTGTTTTCTGTGTATCCTTTCTCTGTCTCTCTCTTTCTCTGTGGCACAGAGAAGGGTATTTTTAAATTATATTAAACAGATGTGATATGCCTGTCAGCTAGTTCCCCAGGTGTTTTATATATCATTTAGACTGATGCTTCCCTAACTTCAATATATGCATTGATCACCGAGGATACTGTTAAGGGACTTTTTTGTAATGGAATTCTGCAGTAAGCCCAGCCCAGCAGATGTAGATGTGGCAAGTCTTCAGATCACATAGTGAATTGCCAGCATTTAGGAAACAACCAAGTCATATCATTTCATGCAGTCGAGTTATAATTCCATGACAGTTTTGTTTGATATTGACTTTTATAAAATGAGCAATTTCTGGTAACATACTTTAGTGTTTAGAGTCATGAAATAGTATAAAACAATACATTAATTCAGTGCATGACAATAAAAATCATAATTTAACAAAGGAGACAAAGGGCTATAGTCTCACAACTTCAATTTAATGACTGAAATCATAGACATTGTATAAGACTGGCTGTTGATGAAAGTCAGTTCCATGATCCCCCATTCATTAAAAATGTACCATAAGTATCTATCGAATTTGACATAAAGGAAACCATATTTTGAAAAAGTAATCGAATACTATAGACTAAAATTCCTAGCTTACTTCCGAAATAAAAATCATACAATAAGTATACCTAGCACATGTTGCTGAACTTTTCTAATTTGTAACCAAGTCTAGTATATCAGATATTACCTGAAAATTTTGTCTTATTTGGGCAGCCCCTTTTGGTTTAAAAAATGTGACATTGAAATGACATTTTTCTCTTTCTTTTTATAAGAAAGAGAAATTAAATTTATAATTTTAGTGTTGAATCAAAAATAAAACTGATTCACAGCTATTTTGATGGTGTTAGTTTTCTTTTCTCCTTACATGTGGCTTAATTTTGTTTTGTTTCATTAATGTTTACAAAGATACATAGATCCTGTTATATTTCATTATTAATAGTAACCAACACATTTACCTTTCTAATTAACTGATTTTAAAATAAATGTATCCCCATAAAATAATCTGAGGTTCTTTGACAATTATATTGTAAAGTTAAATAAAAACTTCAATATCAGATCTTTCTTTACTATATAACACATAATACATTTGAGTTCTGTTATTGATGCTAATCTCAGAGACCAAACATTGCCTTTAGCCAACAATATGATATTTAGCTTCTAGCTGAAAAATGAAATGTTTAAGTTGTTATATCAATTTGGCTTTAAAATCTGTTTAGTTTTGTTGTTGTTAAGTCATACTACCTCACTGGAATGATAATTTAATCTAGTTGTTATTTTATAGTGGTCAAGTGACTTAACTTTTCTGTGGTTAGGTTTTTATGTTTTAAAACTGGATATGGGATTAAGTTAATGCATTTAAAGTAGTACAGTGTCTGGCACATAAATAAAAATGTTCGGTAAGTGCTCAGCAAATGTTGCTAATATTATGGTTAGAAGTAAGTTTTAAGAATACTGGTTATTGGGGGCTGGAGAGATGGCTCAGTGGTCTAAAGCACCTACTTGAAACAAGCTTGGCAAAGCACAGGGACC